CTAGTTCAAACAACAAACATATAGAAATGATGTTATAATGGCTTGCACTACTCAAGTGTATTGTAGGTATGTTGTCTACCCAAGCAGGACAATTGATTATACGTGGGTTACTGGAATATTGACATTCTGAGCATTTTTTGCCAATTCGTTCTAATTTAGATCATTCAAAATTAACATCTCATAATATTTATGGACAGAAGAGTTACAAACAATCATCTTTATTTTAATTTTTTTGAAAGCATACAATTTAATTATAATTGACAGAAGTAACAAGAATAACTACAATTATATACATACCTCAAAATTACGATGGGATGATACATAGAAATGGATGATCCTATAAAATCACAGAATAGTTAAGGGAGAATTATACAAATAGGACTTAAACATATCAAGTTCCCAAAATTAGGACTCTAAGCTGGCTTAGGACATAAGTGCACATGTTTTGACTATTATACCCTTAATTTTATATGAATTAATCGACACAGGAAGAAATTGCAGCGGTGAACGTAACTCTTCTTCGGAGCAAACTTGACAGAGAGCATCAATTAGCTTCCAAATGCTACGAGCTTCCAAATCAATCTGCTTCATCTGGTCCTTCCCTTGGCGGCGACAATGAGGTGTCGATAAGCGGTCTCCTGAATAGTATGGTTGTCGACCACGGCAGATGCAATCTCATTTCTTTGACGGACTTGACGTAGAGCATCCCAAGCTTCGACGAGTAGATCTGTTGGGCAGCCTGGCTCTTCCACCGGAGTCCATCCACATAGGTAGGCTGCATCTAATCCCGGTCTGAATCGCAGGTTTTCCTCCGCTTCTTCCGTGATAGGTTTGAGTAGACATTAGGATATGCGATCGAAGATGATAATTCCATCGTATCAATCAACGAAGTCCGTGAGTTTCTGAAACTGAACGTTTCTCTATCTTCGTGGTATTGCAGATCGGAACTTGGAAGCGGAAATTTTGAGATTCAAATGCAACTCATATTTAAAGTGCATGAGTAGGCAATAATCAATCCTTAATGACATATGCGTAAACATTAAACTCCTACAGCTAAAGTAAGTATAAAAATTAAAACAAAATTATAAAGCAAATATGAAATTTAATATAGATTCAATTGTTGAAATAATGCCTAAATATACTAGTATTATTTATGAAGCATATGAATATTACACATCATGTGATATAAATATGAAGCTGTTAAGGGTAGAAAATGTAGTCTTATTTTAGTGTTATTCATAAAGTTCTTTGGAAATATGATGATATGTGACGTTGCACTTTGTCACGGTGAGTCAAAATAATATTCAATACTAACACTTATACGTAGTATAGGTGAAGTAGAGTTCGTATCCACAGGGAAATGAATAATTCTCTTTTTATGTAACTAGTAAGTAAAGGGGGGTTTTGATTGAGTGATTTAATTAAATTAAACCCGAAGATGAACGACTTATATGGGATTAAATTCAAGAATAAAAGGACTTGGCATTGCTACTTTCCACTTGTTGATATATTTTAGTCGATCATTGTTATATCTATAACTTATCTCCTCTCGAATACTCAATCGAGGAGTATATCCAATTCATCGAGGGTAGTTATTAACAACGACCGTTCATTAATAACCCTTACTATTAGTCAAGTATAGAACAACGCCGTATACCGACTTAATAGTAGCATTTTATCTCTTAACTCCTTGATGAAATCAATTGAGATTGATAACCTCAACACAACGGTTTCGGTTTAACCAACAAAATTAATCCCTCTTAAGTTTATTAACCACGACCGTGCATTAATAAACCGAAGTTACTTACTTGTGAAACCATCAACGATTAACCATCGGTTCATTGATCGTTTCTAGTAATAATTAATATGTGAAACAAAACTAATTGATCTGTTAAGTAATGTTCAAAATATTAATATGAAATATGAATAGGAATTAATTAATACTCAAGGAAGAATATTAAAGAAGATGAATCCTACTATAGTTAATATCAAAATGTTAACTAATTGTCATCTTAGTAACACTCCCCAATATTAACATAGAGGGAGGAATAACTATTACTATATGTTAGTACCCAACTGTGATGATTTTGATGATGCCACTATACTGTGCACTAGTATATTGTGTCTAAATTAATTCATGCATTAGTATTTAAAAGTGACAATGAACACCAATGTAAAAGCTATGTACCAAAGAAAACATACTGGAAAGAATAAAATGCAATAAGGTAATACAGTCTTTACCTTACATGGATATTTAAATCCAACCATTATAATTTTATGTGATACATAGATTAATCATGTCACGTCAAAAAGATCAACTAGTAAAAAATGTGACAAATTAATAATGTAATATTTTGTACCAATTAAGTTGTACTGGAAAGAACAAAATGCAATAAGGTAATTTTCACTTTACCTTTATGGGATATTTTAAAGATCCTACCAGTACAAAATTTGCTTGGTACAAAATAACCTGAGTCACATATTTTATTACACAAATAAAGCTGGGTCACACACACTTTACTACACGAGTGTAGTTGCAAGACAATGCCAAAAACCTAATGACTAGGTGAACAGCGAAGATAAAACCTAGGGTATGGGCCAACATATCCTACGTACAAGTTGATCATCAACCAGCTCCAAAGAAGAAGACAAGTAACAAGTTGTTATCCTCTGAAACCAAGATTCAACGTCAAGGATTAAACCCTCTTAACCAACGGAGGAGATTAATCTACTGGAGAAGCCTATAAATAAAGGCATAGGCATGAGTTCAAAAACCAAGTCATTGAGTTCAAAGCAAAGAGATTCTATAATCACAAAGTATATCTAGCAAAGGAGAAAGTGCTTGATCACAACTTCACTCTTTGCTTTGACTCATGCTTCACTAAGCTCTTAGACTAGATCATACATTGTTATATTTTTAGAGCTTAGATTTTAGTTGGTGGCCAGAAATTTCGTGAAACATTTCACAAGTGGTTGTAAACACTTAGGAGAACAGTTGTTCGGATCCTAAAGTGTGGTTAGATAGATAGAGTACCTCTTGATCCCCACTGGATCATTTGAGAAAAGTCTAAGGACTGAGTAACTTTGAGTGGTGTTATACTCATCGTGAAAAACCTTCAATCTAGGCCTGAGTGTTGTAAAGGCTAGATTGGCACTAAGTGTATTGGGCTTAATACTTTAGTGGAAATCCATCTGAAATAGGGTGGGACTGGATGTAGGAGGATTACACCACCTCTGAACCAGGATACATCGTGTGTTGGTTTACTTTCTTACATACAGAGCACACACCAAACACTTCTCACAAAAAGGATTGTAGTTTGCCAGCAGCATTCTAAGCAGTAGTCTTAACCGACCCTACTGCTTATCCTACTGCTTAATTACTCACTCTCCTTGAGACTGTTTTCCACGAGAAGTTATCAAAACTCAAAAGGTGTCTCAGCAGGACCCTGGTCTTCACCCACCTGCTGAGCCCACTGCCCATCCATATGTGTCTTTCTGAACTCTATTATAGTTAGAACCAAAAGCCTATCCAAGAGTCATCCTGTTTCTCAGCAGTTGCCTCAGCAGTCCCCTGCCCTCCAGTCAACTGCCAACCCAGCAGTTGCCTCAGCAGTGATCTGCCCACCAGTCAACTGCAAAGCCAACTGCTCACTGTTTAGAGTCCAAACATCACCAGAACTAGAGAGTTGTTTCATACTGATAATCAAGAGGTTAAAGACTTCCGCTGTGCATCTATTGATCTCCCAAAAGATTATAGATCAACTCATCTAGAGGGGAAGAGTTCTTAAAACCGAAAAAGCTTTAAAAGTCTATTCACCCCTCCCCTCTAGACTTTTACCTCTATCAGGGACCATCACTATAACTAATGTCAAGATGTTAACTAATTGTCATCTTAGTAACACCCCCCAACATTGATATAGAAATAGTATTTAAAGGAATTAATATTCAAGGAAAGAAGTTAGGAAAATAACTCACAACTTTAATAATCAACAAGCTTCAAGAGCAACACCAAGAAATGGAAGTTTAGCTCCTCATTTGGAGACTAAACATACTAGATAAATATAAAGAAATGCTATTCTAAACTGAGCTTAAGAGTATAAGGAATTGGTTCTTAATTGTGAAGGGAAGAGGGTGTATTTATAGGCTTTTTGGGAGTGCAGTTCGGGTACCCGATCGAGTACACATAGGGTACCCGATCGGGTATGTGTAGAAATGTTAATTCGAGGCATACTCGATCGAATTCAGAGTGGAAATGAAAGACATACCCGATCGGGTATGACAACTGATCGTGGCCAAATCTTCCCCTGCACGCCCCTTTGATTCCTGATTGATCTGATTGAAAGTCAAGTTGGTACCCAATCGAGTACATGGTATACTCGACCGGGTACAGGTCATAAATCAGGATTTAGCCTTCTTTTTGTCTTGTACCCTTGCACCTTCCTTCACCAATGATCATTTGATTGATCTTGGACCTGTTTAAGCTCAGAATAAACCTAATCTAAACATATTACAACTATTTTACAAACATAACTATTACACCAAAAGTGTGTAATTTCCGAATTATTAAACAACTAAAACTAACTAAAAACGTAAACATACACACGGAAATTACAAGCGTATCAATATGCAATGTCCTTTTTTGAACATTAAATTAGTATAACTAAAGTAAAGTACAAGAATTAGTATAAATTATAATATAGACTCCATAAATATGAACATAGAGTTCTTAAAGGTTATCAACGAAAACATGTGGGACACCAATTGTTTCATACTCATATTAAGTCGAATATTTTGGTGACACATAGACGAAACATATTTAATGTGCTAAGTAAGAAGAAGTGAGTTACTAAGTGCAATTTGATATAGACATTGTATATAAATTAAACAAGCGAGATAGTCATTAAATACACACTAAGTAGGCATTAATTTTGAATATGTCTGCTACTTAAGCATATATGACAACCAAAAGTACATCAACTGAAATGTTAAAAACCATGACAATTAACATACATTTCAATGCCAACAAACCATGGCAGTTAAGAATAGTGAAAGAAAAAGTGAAAGTCTTAAATGTTATTCTAGGAAATAAAAAAATGAATCCATAGAATTTCATCAAACTAAGAACTACGAATCGGGATATGATTCCTTCAATACTTCTTATTGTGTCCACCTTTCTTACACCGTGAACAACATTGTCGGTAACTAAACTCTCCAGATGAACTTCAACAGATAACTACGAATAGGAGGATCTTGTGGTAGACCTGACTGTCTAGTTGAACTTTCATGGCAAACTAGTAGTAGATCTAAAATTGCCTAAAATGTGTTGAATACAGTACCCAAGTTCAGCGTGCATGTGGAGAAACTATTTTTGCTACATGAATAATTCCCACATGCCGATGTGAGACAAAAAATAAATAAATTATCTCTATGAGTAGGAGTCTTCTTTAGCTTGTTTAGCGTCACACCATAATCTCTATTCATGTCAACCACTATATTATTACAAGCATAGGATTTTCTAGATGCATCTACATATCGGTACTTTATAAATTCTGCAATAATTTCAGATGTCGATTGTTGATGATGACATTGTCTAAAATCAATAGAATAGGAACGGTCGGAATCAAACCTGAAAAGAAGAACACAAAATATCAGATAAGTATAGACACTAAATAGTCCTTAAATTGTCTTTAAATAAGTACAAAAGACATTAAAATAAAAGGAAGTATATAAAATGCAGAATGAACACCACATGTCACTTGTAAATCAAAACATGTACTCCCTCCGTCCCACTAAGATTGTCCCAGACACTATTCACTTGGTCAACACAAATCACTCTTAATCTCTTACTTTATATATCAAATTTTTATCAAATTTGATTCTGGTTTTTGCGACTTTGTAATGCTTCTAATGTAGTTTCTGAATATATAATTTCTTTTTTCTAAAAATAATTTGAGTGCGGACAGGGCTCTGTTTGCTTTATCATCGGTCAGGCATCGTAAACCGAATTGTCCCAAACTTAGTGGGACGGAGGTAGTACCTTCCAATCTGAAACATATGACTTCCAGAAAGCATCACTCCATGAAGAGCCTAGATGCATTCTTCATCAACACAAACTACATGCAACTATATGAGTATGATGGAAGACAAAGCTTGACATGAAGAAGACAAAGCTAAAAATTGTTGATATAAATCATTAATTGTCTTCTGAATCGTCACTGGAAGAAGAATGTATGTCTTTTAAAATTTTTTTTGGTGCACAAGTAAAACCATGGAAGAAACTTTGAGATCAATTAAAATAAACATGGCCGACATGTCTTTTGGTTAATCAGTCATGTATGGAGAACTGGCAGAGATTGAGATCAATTGCAGAAAATTCGGGAGATGTATTATTATTATTATTATTATTATTTATGCAAGCGGGTACGGTAAACAACTCAACACACGAAGTAAACATAGCATAGTCAGGGAGAACTCTTTTCAGAGCCAAGTAAAAATCCAGGAAACAAGGATCACAAACAACCATAGAAAGTGAATAAGCATCAACAAAGTAAGATACCTTAATCTTTGTATTGTTAACAAATTCAACAATGCATGTGATAGCCCCAACACATGCACAAATATGTTAACAAATCATGAACATCAAGAAGGTACAAATATTTGGGCCCGAGGAACCCCCAACACACGCCGGTAGCAAAAAGAACAGACCAACAACTCCATGGCCTCTGCACGAGCTCAACCCAAAGGTAACATTGATCAAACGTCTTCGGGAGCTCAATCACATGTGAGAGGTACGTTGCGTCCGGCCTATGACGTTAAACTGAGCGCTAATTGGGAGGCAACCCAACAAATTCAATTATAAATAAATATGTCTAGTTAAATACATATTCATATTTATTTATAATTGAAACAAAAAACAAAAAACAAAAACAAAAAAAAGAAAAGAAAATCATCGATCTCAGCTCAGATATCATGCATCTCCTACTCTCATAAGACAACCCCCATTCCACTATTGAAGATTTCATCCTCCATTGCATCCTCCAATGTACATTGAGGACAATGTATCTCAAGTGTGGGGGGGGGTGCATCTCATGGTTAGTTAAACAAATTTTGTGTGCAAAATAATTTTTTTAGGAAGGTAAAAGTTGTGATAATTCTCTTTTTAATGGGTATTTGGTTGAGAAAGTATTCATTATTCACATAAACTATCATTTTTTAGATTTATTACAGTACTTTTACTCTTGAAAACCATTCCCAAAGTAAACCTTGTGACTAGGAAACACCATCTTCTTCTATTTCCAAAAATGGTTTAAGTACATCTCAAATATTCAAGAACCATTTTGGGAAATAAGCCACCCCCATATCTCATCAAATAAATTGGGATGATCAAAATGACTTTCAGTAAATGCTTGTTGAGAACCAATTCAAATGAGTTACAAACAAAAAAAACTCATGGTCTCTTTCAAGAATTTCAACCGATCCACTTCCATATTGGAAAGTCAAATACACCAAAAAAACATCCTACACACCCAAAAAGTCCTAGTCACAATCCACTCATCTACTCTCAAGTGTATAAATAATTTTTCTAAATCTAATGACAGTTTTGTGTGTCTAATAGAAATTTGGTTTTGGACCGAGAATGATAAAAGAGTTTACATAAGTTTTTAACTCTCTTAAAATTAAAATTATTCTTGTTCATATATTTTTGTTGAAACTAACCAAGGCATCCAAAGGTGAAGAAATTGCTTGAGGACAATCAATGCTCAAGTGTGGGGGGATTTGATAGCCGTTATATTTACTTATGTTTAACATAAGTTATTATAAGTAATTGTTGAAGAAAAGAAGAGAAATTGGGAAAATATCTTCAGAACGAGAGTTAGAGCATAAAACATTGTGATGAACATGTTTTTGGACCAAGAGGATGACGTTCTGCCCATAATTCGAGTGTAACGTATTGTAGAGAACTCGAAACCACCCGATTCGAATTTCATGTGAATGTTAACTCAATAAGGTACAAATGTTATGAAGACGTCATGGCCAAAATATGAAAGGAACAAGACTCAATCGATCAATAAAGTAAGATGTTGCTGATGGGATTTCAGGATGCATACCTCTCAGCGTTTTATCCATATCTTTTGATTGGATGAATAAAATCACGCCATTCAAGTTTTGGTGGATAGGATACTTCATTATCTACAACTTTGATGAAGAAATCAAGTCCAAATTCATAGCGGAACATCCCCAAAATCCCAGGACAAAACCGGCGCCGGAATTTGCACCAAACCGGCGCCCGTTTGTTGATTTTTGCATGTACACAAACCAGTAGCTTACCCGGCGCCGGGTAGTCCTTATAACCGGCGCCGGGTATGTCAAAATTTCAGATTTTCCAGCGCACTATGAAGAACCGGCGCCGGGTAGGCCTGAACCCGGTGTCGGGTAGGTCCGATTCTGCACAAAACAGTCCAACATGCAAGGGGATTTTTGATGGGAAAACTTTATCTTCCTCAAGTGTGATCAAATATTGCTTCCATACCTTATTGTTGGGCTCAAATAGACTAAAAGGTGCTATTCTTTATCCTATATAAAGTCCTCAATTCATCATTTGAACACATTCCATTCCATAGATTAATTCCTAGCTTTTATATTTTGTTCTTGCTATTTTTCTTCAAGTTCTTGAGGAGGAAACTTCAACCTCCGAAATCATTGGTGTTTAGGTATTATTTCCTTTGTAATTTCATGTTCCATTACATTTCAATATTGTATTGTGATTAATATGAGCATTAGAGGCTAATTTCTTAGCTAAGGCTAGGGATGAACCTCTATGCCATTAGGTGTTTGATAAAAGTTCTAAACCAATAAATTGTGATTTATCCTTTTATATTTTGATTGTTTATGATTAAAGTGTACAACATAGAATTATGTTAAATTTAGTTTATGCTTGCAATTAACGTTGAAGTCTAAACTATGAACATATATAGTACCGAGAATAGAAATATATCTGGTCTTATATGATACGGGTGTGATGTCTTGATATTTAACGGGGTTTTCGGTAGATTAATGTAAGTCGTAACGGGACTTACACGTAACGAAAACCACACTCTCGCTGCCTTTACCGGAGTTGAGAATATATTAGCGACATCGTATTCATAATTATTGGGAAAGAACTATTATTAAATAACTATTAAAGCATTTAGGTGAATCCCGATTGCCTTAGTAATTCTCATTCTTGTTTAACCCAATCTCAAGAGCAAAGTTCCTGAAAAATTATATCATTTATATTCTTTTGCATTCAATACTCAACTTTATAATACCAACCATTTCCCTGTGGATCGACCCGGTATTTACCGGTATTTTATTACTATATCGGCACTTGTATACTTGCAAGTTTAGACTGATCAGCATGCATAAACCAAGGAGGTATACTGAACATACAATGTCACGTTAAGTATGACCAAAATACCAAATAGCACCCTGAGGAGGGGGACCAGACCAAATGCCGGGAGTCAGATGCCGTTAAGTACTACTCCCTCCGTCCCTAATAACTTTGCCAAGTTTGACTGACACGAGGATTAATAAAGTAAAAACTGTGTGGTTGAGGTTTGTGCAGAAGAGAGAGAATTAACTGGAACCACAAACTCTTTACTTAAAAGGGAAAGTGGCAAAATTAGTGGAACATCCAAAAAAGGAAGGTTGACAAAGTTATAAGGGACAGAGGGAGTATTAGCCTGAAGCTTCATTTGTTAAAGAAACAGTTTGAGTTGTCCCAAGTGCCATCAACCTTAAGCATAATCAACATGATTACAACATTTGTAGTTATATACGTAGTATAAATTGAAAGAGACAATAAAACGCAATACTAGATGAATATGATCAATAAAAAAACCAAATCAACATTAAATATGATAAAAACAAAAAAACAACAATAAGTGTGATTCACAATTCAAAAGCCTGAACAAAAGCAAATGATAGCTTAGTGACATGGACAATAATAAAGGGTAAATGCAAAACCAAATAAAACAGAAACAAAACACATTAGCACATTAAATGTATACATAAGTTATGAAAACAAGATGAATTTATAGCCACGAAGCTTGCAACTGTTCGTTAAAAGAGCACATGCTGATTAACCAATAATCACACAAACAAGAGGATCAAAGAACTATTTGAAGTAGAAAAGATTGAAATCTACAATGGAAATTAAAAACAGAGAAGAGAAACACTTTGATTTGCACTTTCAAGACCAAATTAGAATTGAAAATAGAAGATGACAAAACTGATACAGAATATATAAACGAAATTCATTTATACATGAAAACATCAAGTAGTAATCAATTTTTAAATAAATTGAGTGATAAAACTTACCTATGAACCAATGAATGATTGGAATAAAACAATTAAAATATTCATTGAATAACATCGTAACAGTCGTGAATGAAGCAAGTGATTACCTAGAGACGAAGCGGCTTGAGATCAGGGCGGGCAACAAAAGTTGTGGTCTGTAAATAAACACCAATGGTTCCAATGCCACCATAAGTACTGTTAACAGCTACGTGAAAGCCATTAATGGAATCACCGGCGCTGCCCAGTCGAAATTTGAAGTCGGTCACCGCACGATGGCTTCGCATTAAGATGAAGAACGAAAGAAGAAGAAGAAGAAGAAATGATCGCCGCGGAAGAGATTGGTCGATGCGGAAGATTGCTCGCTGCGGAAGAGATTGCTTGTTGCGAAAGAGATGGGTCATTAATACGCAACCTAAATTGAAGGGTAAAAGGGGAAACTAAAAATTATGTTTTCTAAAATAGAACTCAATAGAGCATACGGATGAAAAAAACTTTAACTAAGTCTTAATTTTGTAAACTTTGTATGATTTAGTCTTACTAATAGCAATTTTGTCAATAGTTAATCTCATAAAGATGTAGATTCTACTCGTAGATCGACTTTTCTTGCTAAAAAATGATGATAAAACAAGGTTTCTAGTCATCAATATGGGAAATAAAATATTCATCTCGGCTTGACCATCTATTGAAAATGAATTCTGAATTGTTCTAGTTTTGGCAGCCACCCCCAAAGAATCACGTGTAGAAATTGTCAAGATTTCACCAGCCACCGGAGACAAATAGACCATCCAATTGCATCTTTCTGGCACATGAAATAGGTGCAGAAAAATATATATCCATAATTGATGATTAAATAGACCATCTACTCTCTCTGTCTCATTGAATTTTGTGATTTTTTCTTTCTACTAGCCTAATTTTTTTATTAATTTCTTTTTAAAGTAATGAATTTGTGTTTCTCCTTATTTTTCTCTACGAAATTACATATCTCAACCATGGTTTTAAATAGCCGGCTGCTACGGCTATCGGCCTATCAAGTCCGCTATATAGTGGTTGCCGTAGCTACCGCTACCGCCACGGGCCGCTATCAAGGTGTGATTTTCAAATCGCAGAAAAATCCGCTACGCCGCCCGCTACAGGCCGCTACTGGCACCTTCGATAGTGCATCACGAACCAGTTGATGTGTAAATGTGTAAATGTTAATGTGTGCATGATGTGAAATACATTAATGATGGTGCATGAAGTGAAACTCTAAATTAAATGTACATGTATCCACATACATTATGGGACCAAATATTAATAAATATCTAAATTTTAAATATTAAAACCGAATTAATTATTAATAAGGATGATTTAACTTTAATATCGGTTGACGAAAAAAATGTTGACTCAACAAAACAATTTGCGCACTTGAAAATATTTCACGCCGCTGCGACTGCTATATACGCATTGTAGCGGCCGCAATGGCCTACCGAGATGACCGCTACCGCTGCGGCTACCGTTGCCGCTACCGCTATTTAAAACCCTGATCCCAATGAAGCATTTATTTGTTTCACACAATCATACTCAAATTAAAGTTGATAATATTGAATAGGGCTAGAGAATACGGAGTACGTAGTATATATTACGGAGTATATCGAATATTCGAATGCAATTTCTCTAAGAGTACTGCACTACTGCTGCACCGGACCTAACATAGAAACCGAATATTGATGTATGCTTTAAGAATACGGCGCACTTGCAAAAAGTGAAGGTTATGTGGAGTCTGAGATCAAAAGTGCATAAAATTTCAATCTTTTGTTTCTTTTTAACTTTAACGAGAAACGAGAAGATTAGATCAACAGCACAAAATTAAAAGTGCACTATCATGTTTGGGACATAAAAAGTAGAAACGTACGGGAGCGGGGGCGTAGCTCAAGGGCAAATTATACGGTACACCCGGATGTATGGTCCTCACCGTACATCCGGGTATTTTTGAAATTATTATGAACTTCTCCCTGTCCATTGTCCGCTGCGCTGCCCCTATTCCTTCTCCTAGGTCATCGCCGTTTCCGTCTGTCTGTGCCGATCGATTTCCGAGTCAGACGATTCTGATGAAGTTTGTGATGGTGAAGAAGAAGAAGTTGGTGTATCATCCTCTTGCCTGCGCTTCTTCTTTCTGCTCGAATGCCCCCCATGGTTCCGGAGATGTTTGTTGCTCGGTGCAGCGTTGGTCAATTGACTACTGGTGTGGGAACGTTTTTCTCTTTTGTCTTTCTTGTTCTTCTTTTCTTGCTTTTATGTTTTTCCTTCTTTTCTTTCTTTTTCTTAATTTTTTTTAATCTTTATTCAATTATAAAATATTTTAGATATTAATGTTTTGTTTTGCTATATCTCATTTTGTAATTTACGTATGCTCATTTAATATTCGTTTTATGCTCATTTTAAAATGTCATATCAATACACAAATGAATATTGAAGACATATTGAGCACAATAGAAATGAGTTTTATGTTAAATTCAAATGAGTGTAACGTCCAAAATGAATGAGCACACAAAAATGCGTTTTTAAATTTTTTGACACTCATTTCGTAAGTTATGTATGCTCATTTGGTAGTAATGGTATGCTCATTTTAAAATTCCATATCAATATTGCATATTTTAAAATTATTATACTACATTAAATTCGCATATTGTTTTAAATTGAAATCGATTATAGACATAATTTCAGAAATCTTTTTTAAACAAATAAAAAAATTACATTAGAAAATTTGAAGCAGATTTCACGATACTCATTTTAGGCTCCTAGCCTCCTATTACTCAAAACAATAGGCATGATGCTCACCAAACTTGCATTAATGCTCATTCCAGACAAATCACGATTTTCATCTCAATAGCAGATGTTTGATGCTCAATGAAATGTCTTGATGCATATTCCAAAAGTTTAATATTAAATTAGATTCGTATATTTGAATTCATAGGAATCTATTATAGATATAATTTTAAAAAATTATATAAAAGAAAAAATAAGAAAAAGAAAGTGAAACAGCAGTTATGAAGAAGAATTTATGCTGCTCAACAATACTCAACATAATAGGTCTGTTGCTCATTAAAAGTTCATTAATGCTCATTTAGCAGAAACCGTGAATTTCATCTCAATAGAGGATGTGTGATGCTCAATTAAAATCGTTATCTTGAACTCATTTAGTAAGTTATGTATGTCCATTTAATACCTTTGTTATGCTGATTTTAAATAACAAAGCAACTAACAAATTCATTAATACTCATTTTGTATGTTACGTATGCTCATCTGGTAGAGATCTTATGCTCATTGTCTAAATGTCATATCGATGCATTTTTTAAAGTACTATTTTACATTAATTCACATATTGAAATTCACAGGAGTTGATTATAAATATATATAATTTAATAAGATTTTATAAAAGAAAAAATAACAAAAAGAAAGTGAATTAGAAGTTATGAAGTGGAGATCACAATTCTCAATATTAGACTCCTAATACTCAACAGAATGGATATGATGCTCATTAAACGTTTATTATTGCTCATTCACTAGAAACCATGAATTTCATCTCAATAGCGGATGTTTGATGCTCAAATATTAAATGTGAATATATAAAACGTGAAATGAGTATCAAAAAGTTCAAAATGAGCATTACGCCAATATGCATGGATATGACATTTAAGTTGTCTCGTGTAATGCTCATTTTAAAATTTACGAAATGAGCATAGAAAAAATTTAAAAGCTCATTTAAAATCTCGAATACGCTTAAATATCAATTTGTGTATTCAGTATGCTCAACAGAATAGGTCTGGTGCTCACTAAAAGTTCATTATTACTCATTCTCCAGAAGTCGTGATTTTCATCTCACTAACACTATATAAAAAAATTATAAACATATTTATATAAAGTAATAGTATGATTCATAGATCAAATAAATACTTCAAAAATATGAATTAGTCTTTTAATATAGTAATAATGAGCAAAAGCAAAAGAATAGTTAATATTATAATTACTATAATAATACGCGGTATGAAACTATATAGGATAAGTAAGATAAATGAACCGATTATTTCAACAAGACAAGTTAGTGAGATGGTTGAAAGGCCGAATATCCTACTTCGGGTTGCGGGATCGAATCCCGCTGTGGTTCTTAATTTTTTTTAAGCTGAGGTCGCGATTTGCTGGGAGCCCACCAATCATATTTAATAATTGGACCGGATGTAGGTACACCCGGGTGTATTATATAGGCTCTCTAGCTCAAGTGGTAGTGGTAGATAGGGATTACAATGAGTAAGTCTCGAGTTTGAATTCCAGCAACTACGATAAAAGGTTATTATAATGTATATGTTCTTTGCAAATATCAGGATTAGTGCCTCACTCTCTATCTTTAAACTTGTGATTAAATTGTTATGCAGCAATCATTAATCAATATTAAAATTAGGTATCGGATCTGTATCAATGATGCGAGTAGGTGAAATACGGATTAACTACTAACCCGAAATGTATTCCAGTTTTGAAAATAATTATAAAAACAAAAAGAAAATAGTACTGACGTTACGTTGACGGAGAGAAGAGCATTGACGGAGAAAATATGAAAACTAAAAGTCTAAAACCAAATCTGGATTATTCCAATTTAACATTCAGATATAAGGTTGAGTTTATAAAGATAACCAAAAATCATTTGCATTTTATTAAATTCCCATTTTATAACAAAACCAAACCAAATTTTGCATTTAAAGCCCTACCCTTAAGTAGACAACCAAGTATGCACACATAAATTTATGACACTAATCCCTTTAAATATTTCGCAGGCCTAGTATGGACAGTTGTTAGCTGTATTTTTTTCCAACAGTGAAGCAAATCTCAAAAAAAAAAAAAAACTGATCTCTTTTCAATCCTGGGTCACTTTGTTTTAGGTAATCAACCATCTTCACATGCATCATAATATCATATTAGCCTCCATCCTGTTTTGTAACAAACACTTTCCTTTTTAACAAATGACAAATCCCAATTGTATTTGTCTGCAAGGATATTAAAGGCATGTAACATATTGAAACATGTCTTATGCTAAAAAATTGAAAGGAATAACAAAATACAACAATGGATATGCTCAATAACATAATTCGTCTCTAATTGATACATAACCAATAACCAATAAAGATACTAACATATCAATCTTTCGTTGTAGTATGTTTAAATTATCTCAAGAAAATGGCTCCAAAAAATAACCAATAACCTCGTGAATCAAGAAAAAAAGAACATAAATACATAAGAACTAAAAATAACACCTCTTGGCTACAAAGGATAACCAATAACCTTTCAATATGAGTAAATCGTTACTTTAAAAGATCTAAGTACTCAGTTTAT